TGTGTTAAAATCTTCCAAACTATGTGCAATTTTTACCGATACGTGCATTTTTATTTTACTCGTGTATATTTTTCCATCAAGCTCGTGTATAAAATCGTGATCGTTGTGCAGAAAATAATTTTGAAGCAATCGGCGTGCCATACTAAAGGCTTTAAAAAATAATAATATCGAAAGGTTGTTTAGATGCCCGAACCTTAGTGTTTCGAATATTTTCTCCAAAATAAATTTTTTTTTATCTTACCAGATTTGTTTGCAGAGGGAATTAAATAAATAAATAAAATAAAATCGATAATTAGCTATATATGAGGCAGAATTAGGACTACTGGTATCTAAAGTATCTTGTATGCTTATATATATATATATATATATATATATATATATATATATATATATATATATATATATATATATATATATATATATATATATATATATATATATATATATCTTGAAATTCTTGCGGTGGGATCAGGTTTCTAGGAGGAGTAAGCAACCCCTGTCGACCGGTCACACCTGTCCGTGAGCTCTATGTATTAATCAGGTAGACGGAATATTCCGCAATTAAATTTAGTATAAAAATAAAGGCCTTACATTTGGTATGAAATATATCAAGATACGACCCAATGATAAGTTTTACTTGCTTACAAGGCAATTATAACGACAATAAAATATACAAGATGCTGACTTTAAACGAAAATGTTGAAATCCATGTAACATCAACTAATCTGTCGGTAGCCTGCCTAGGTTTCAAAAGTTGATTGTACACAGAGCATGCTCTTGAATAAGTTGGGAGACAAAAACTCCATATGCAGATGATAGCAAATAAGGAAAAATAAGGAAATTTGACGATGGAAAAGTTGAAGTCATCTCGTTTGTCATACAATTTAGTTATTAGTTGGCCCTTATCGTCTATAGTCAGAATCCAAATCCAAATATGAAACAGAAGTGGCATACGAAAGCGTATAAGTGCCACGTAATGTTGGTAATTTCAACATTAAAGTTGGCTTTTCCTACTTTAAATTTGGAAATCCAACTTTAATTTTGGCTTTTCCAACTTTAAAGTTGAAAATTCCAACTTTAAAGTTGGTATTTCCAACTTTTTAACTTGGCTTTTCCAACTTAAAAGTTGGAAATACCACTTTGAAAGTTGGAAAAGCCAACTTTAAAGTTGGACTTACTAACTTTAAAGTTGGAATTACCAACTTTAAAAAAAATATTTCTTGGCACTAATACACTTCCTTAGTGGCAGACTCTGTGGTGTCTTTCATTTCGAGTTCACAGGGATATATCGAGTCGACAGATGGAAGTAACTACTGTTAATTGATAAAACGCCGTTGATATATTTGAATATCGAGTTGAAGGCCACAGCAAGTGTCTTCTTATCGTATTAAAGTTTTTGAACAAATTCTGCCTCAAAGGAATATAAAAATAGGTCGAGTAATAAAGGATCACAATTGGTGTTCATCGAAATTCAATTATTCTATCAGTTTGTTGGAAGACCTGGTCTCCGGAGACTACAAGGCGTTGTCAATGAGGAACTACAGCATCTTTTTAATATCAACTTCAGTGTGGAATCAGAGTGATTTTTATTTAACAAAGTAATTTTGTTGATGTCAGTCACAAGATATGAAAGTTTTCGAGTTCCATTTTTATTGAAGAGGCAGCTGTCTATGATATCAAAAGGCCTTGTTTTTATTTAATCTTGAGGAGTGGTTATATAAAGGGTAGAAAAGTCATACATTTGATGTTATACTAACTTTTGAAAAAAAAAGTGATTTTCAATAAATTCTTTGGAGTTTTTGAGAATCCACATTTATTTAACACTACTTCTAGAATATGCTAGTACAGTGCATTTAAAGTTTCTCTCGTACATCAGTTAGTATTTTTGGGAGGAGTGAAGATATGGGCTTTGTAGAACACTTGCTGGACCCAACAATGTGTCTTTGTGTGTAAGGATTTTTATGAAGTTTAAGAATCGAGTATAGGTAGGGTAGATCGAACTCATCTTCGTTGACTGGAATGTTATCGGTTTTGACAAAGTTTCCAATCATGGCAAATCATTCTGACAAAGTGTTCAGGTCTTCCCCTATTTCACCCAACGTCTTTCATAATTATCGACAGAATTCTTAATAGAAATGAAGTTCTGCCGCCAATTAAAAGATCGTCGCTTCCTGTATTTAGAACCTTTTAAACTGATTGCTTTTTAGGTCGTCATTTTCAACTACATGTCTATTAATACCACCAGTAAAGACTTATCCAGCGGGACCATAGTTGAACGAAAAGGAAGAGCAAGATATTATTTATATTGAAAAAGACATTTAACTTCAGAATGAAATAAACTTCAGAAAGCCTTTGGTGTTTGTCGGAAATCCTTTTGCATAACAGATCCATGAAACTGGTTTATGTTTGTAAAAAAGGTGTAAAAATATGGCGTGAATCAAGGTGACTAAAAACTTTTGTGTGCGTGTAATGCAGTTTAAATAGACTACGCGTGTTGAACAGGGAAAAAAAATTAAAACATGTTAAATATATACATGTAGAAATTTTTACCTGTACGATATGCATTTTGTATTGTTTTACATGTGGTTATTAAAAACGATGAACACGATTGATATACGTTTAACATAAAAAAACCTATGTCATTATGAGGCAATAAACGAATGTTCAATTAACGTGTGCTCCTTGTCGAGATCGGTGAAACGGACAAATTCATTGACAATTCAATATGAAAATAATGGCCCAACAATTTGTATGAAAAACATCTGTCAACTTTTGACATAATGATAGATTTAATTTTCTGCATATATTTTTTTAAGAATGTTTTTCAACATCTGTATTTAAAAAAAATTGGTTTAGTAGAAGAATTCAAAAATTCTATAAAAATCAATTATTTCTTATTTATAAAGATTGCAAAAAGCAATAACTCTTTACATGCTTATTCAGTTTTTCTCCTTTATATCTCTTACATATATATTATAAAACATTCCCTTATATCAGCAATGCATTTACAAAGTAACAATTATAAGAAACCTTTAAGAGAGGAATCTTGACTTCATGAAGACGCTTTTTGACTGTGGATGTTGTTTGGCATATTTCCCGTTAGGTTTTTTTAATTGTTTGCTTCCGTTGTATTCACATTAATGGACACAATAGGCACAAAATTCAATAAATACATATAGACAAAATGGACGACCCAATCAACTATCCTATTACACTGTCTATACTCTTGATGCAATTGGACCGTTTGAAAAGTTTAAAAAACTTTTTCTTATACTTTACTTCAGCTCTGTATTTATTGGATTAATTAGGATCAATTAAAGCAACACTTATGTATGATAAAATACATATATTAAAACATAAAAATGACGAAAGTGATGGAAAAATACATATGTGACCGCATGTTTTTATTAATAAAGTTATTATCTAATAAAAATACAGCATTGACTTATTGTTTTTAATTTTTGTCCATAATGTATTTCCATACTTTAAATAGTTATAAGTAAGAGCGTTTGTATATATTTATTACACTAAGGCTTTTCCATAGTGTGTCCCATTAAGTCAAGCATGCTATTCATGCATGGGTGAACCCAGGTATTTGATTGGCTACTCTGGTGAGAAGCTCACTATTGTAGTAATTTTTTAGACATTCAAAAAGGATCCTTAGAGTGAGCAGTGTATTTTTACTGACTCCAAAATTATTTACTGACAATTTGTATACCAGACCTTATGGACTTTATATGGACAATTTAAATATACTAAACAGGTCAGTTTATTAACATTTTAACATTATTAATTATGAGCATGATGTGTGAAAGTTATGTGAATGAGATTTATGTAAAATATTATTTTTTTATGAGTTTTAAATATATTTTGCCAATAATCAGTCAGACTTACTTTATGTGATAATTTATTATAGTTATGACTGACTGAGAAATTAAGGATCAGGAAGATCAAGTTCATTTACCATATATTTGGTAAGCTTTGTGTTTAGTGAAGTTTGTGTATATTGTGATGTCTATTTGTATTGTAAATAGAATTTGATTTGAATACTATGAATGGATATGTTTATAGTGAAAAGTAAATTTTATGATAATGAATTGCATAATATAATGCTTGAAATGATTATTTTATGATGATCCTTAAAGTTATGACGAAAATGGAGTTATTTCCCTTAGCCAGAAAATTCAGTGTTTTGTGTGATGTTTGTGTATGTTTGTTTGTCTGTGAATTATTTGTTAAATATTTTATTTACAGAACTACACATAACATGACCTGTACATATGGAATATACAATATATAATTGAACCCAGTCTTCGTTGTTATTAAAATCAACGTCTACACATATAACATTATAGGGGATCAGACAAACACAGTGCAAAAACAGTGCAAAAGACAAACACAGGGGATAAACAGTGCAAAATTCTTAATGCAATTGGTCAGTTACATTTTGCATTACACATGTAGTGACCATGTTGGCGTGCATGTATATTAAATTACATAGGTGGCAATTTTGTCCCTTCTGATGTGCAATCCTTTAAATACGTAAACTAAATCCAGTGTTGGGTGTGTATGTTTGTGTGAGTGTTTTTTTTTTCATCTGAAATTTTAGGAATTCAGAATATCGAATTTTTAAAGGTTTGTCACATTATCTCATCAAATAATCCCAAATAAGACCTTTTTAAGTACTTTACTTAAAGTTTTCTAAATGAAATGAGGAACATGTCATGCACAGTAATTTATTGACATCTTATACCACTGCTGATAAAAACATTATCAATATTCTTTACAATAAAGCATATTATATGCATATAATGTACATAACCTATAATTATTTCGGATTTCATCCATAAGACCAACTTAATCTAAACTTGCATAGACATCGCTTAAGTAACGATCAATTAATAGCTATTAGTATGTTGAGTAAGCCCCACAGGATGACGTGCATTTTGCTCGATGTTTGCCTCAATGTCTATTTTGTTTTCTTTCCCTTGTACATGTACCAACTGGTCTTTGATTTTCCGCTTTTTGCCACATAACAGATAGAAGCCGTAAGCACAAAGTTCAATCATCAACTGGACAACTTCAAACATTGCCAACACAGACAATCCTATCCATAGACCAATAGCGCCGCCGATGTTGGATGCAAACTCTGCAAACTGCAGAAAAGAAGTATTTTTCTTAGTACCTGGTAATATTACATTATATTTGAAATCATTTTTATTTTAGTTCTGAAGAAAGTTGCAGAAAATTGGCAACTTATGTTTATAATTTTATCAAACATTCCGGCAGATTTACATTTTAACTAAAATATTCAAACCGATGAAGTATATAAAAGTTTATTGAAAGCCACTGTTGTAGTAAAGCTGCAAAAAGTCCCTCCTTTCTTATATGTTATATGAAACTACTAATTAACTAACACACACACACAAAAATAAAGCGATAGACATCTTTGAAAGTGCATAAATACCATTCTTTTTTTTAACTTTAAATAATAACAGCAACACAAGATGAACCAGTAAAGGGTTTGAAACAGATGACACTCTACTATGAAACAATGAAATTTTTTGCGGTTAAGATGCTGAAGCTTAAGCTAAGAGATCTAAATTGTAGTCCCTAATTGAACACCATGCAGTTGGTGCAGGTAAATTCAAATTAATATGAATTAATAACAATGTTATTACTCATGAAATAATGCTGTTTCATAGACTTGACTTGACTCACGATCACATCCAAAGGTCAGATGTTGAAACATCATTGAATTTAAACTCTGCAACCGATTAGGCTGTTTTCAAACGTGAGAATCTCATTATATACTCATTGTCTAAAGGCATACCAACATCATTTCTCAGAAGTCCAATGTCACCGTAATCATGCTTCAAGTCTCTTTGAGACCAAAAAGGTTGTAATCGTTGAAAAAAATTCAATCACATATTTTGTTTAACACTACATTAAATATCCCATAATCATAATTCTAAAACATGTCATAAATATAATCAGTTATGGCTGCGGGAAGGATATGAAATCTGTTTTTAAAAAAAATCCGGTGACTTGTCTATTAAATTCATCTTCTTGTTGAATACTTGATATCGCGATTACTTAACGGAACTCTTTCGCGGTGGAAGTAGGAAACGTCTGTTGGCTGGGGGCAATGTGCTAAGTACTGAATACAATGCGAGATCGATCATTGTGGATTTTATGACAGAAGTCCTGGTGAAGTATCTTGCAGAACATTCGCTGAACAACATTACCTAAAATTGAGAGAAGCTAGTCCTCCTTTGTTACATTTTTGATGATACTTTTCATTTAGCCGACTCTTTTAATTAAATTCTACCATTTCTCTTTGAAAATCGTTAATTTTGGTAGCTGATAATATACTCTAAATATTCCTGTCAGACAACCTGTTATTTGGAATTCATCCCTCGGCAATACGTTAAGTTGTACTTTCGCATAACTATTGTTCGAATCATTCGATTGTCATTAATGTAAACATTGTTATGCGCAAAACATCTTGCAAGATTTAGAGCTTCCTCGAATCCGTCACAAAAGAGCGACAGTAAGTTAGATAACCGCGAGGTAATGGCGATAATTTGTACTGGCCTTTGACGAGTTTAAATGACAACCAATATGACGTCATTTATCGATGCTTTTGTTTGTTAACCTAAATTGTAAGTCAACTAGATGTTTTGCTCATAAGTCACGTGGCTGTTTGGTAGGACCTGTAACAATGCTTACTGTAGATGCAGGTGATTCTACTAGCTGTTCGAAGTTAAGATCTTCATAGTAGATGGTAATCTTTGCGAAATATCCACTGAAAAAATAAATAAAAGGAAATGTAACAAGAAAAAATAAATTTCTTGTGAATCATAGCAAAGTAAACTACTATAAGTATTTAAGTATTGTGCATTTGTAGATGTGTATGATATATGTCCTGATCTATTCAATATGTTGAAAATAAAGAATTAGATGGTACTTATTAGAATTCATTTCACTCTTCAGTACTCATATGGACAGTATGCACTATTTCATTGCTTGTTCCACAGTTATTCAATAAAACGTTTTTAAAAATGTTGAAGTTGCGACTCAAATTGATGACACTTAAGACTGCCTTGCCAACCACATAATTATTACGACAATCGTTTTGTATTATTGCTTAATACGTACATCATATCGCTTGGAGCATTAACCATTTGCTGCAATATAACGCACTTCTCCTGGTGACTTTGACATACTGTTTGCATTAAAGTAGTCTGTAAGTAGAGAAAATATCAACATGGCACACTGCATGCATTCCTTTAGAGCATTTTGACGTCCATTATTACTTTATTTTAAACAAGCACACATATTGACTGAAAAAGCATGCAATGATAGTCAACAAACTATATGATGTGTGGTATTATAATTATAATATTATATGAGCTTATACAAAGGTTCAGATTTATTTTACTACTCTCTCTGCATCAGAACATGGTACATTGTGAATGACATAAGGTAGGTCCTAACTCGAGTGACGTCATCAATCGTGGTACTCCATTGAAATATATAATTATCAATAAAAGAATTATTGTAAACCCTATTTAATGAAATTGCATGAGTAGCAGTGAAGTGTGAATCAATAAAAGAATTATTGTAAACCCTATTTAATGAAATTGCATGAGTAGCAGTGAAGTGTGAATACAGTTCCATGTCTAAAATGGTTTTAGACACATGCACATTGTACAACTTACATTTACTGTTCATACAGAATTTTGAAAAATTACTTATTTCATGAAAATAGAAATTTAGATTTTTCCCCTTGAAATAGAGACTCATACTGTGTATCAAAACAAACAAATTAAGTCATTCAGCAATTTTCTGGAGAAATATGTTTCATTGATAGTTTTCAAGTCCTTGTTGACTGGTTTATAGGGGATATACATGTTCTAGAAGTTGTAGGAAGAAAAAAAAGCCTGTGATGTACAACATCTTTTTAGCTTTTTGAACAAAACAGATAAAATATAACATTTAAAAGATAAAAGGAAGGTGTTTATCCACGAAATTCTGAAAATATCTAGATAAATGTAAAATTTTGGAATAATTTGAAATTTTCCATTTGGTATACTTTCTCAAAAATTTATCATCTTTTTTTTATATATTAAAAAAAAGACACTAATCATGAATATTTAACATGATACTAAGCAGATAAATTGATACATTAGCCAAATATTTTTTAGTTGAGATACATTTGTAGTGTGACGAAATAAAGCCTTAAGGGGTATACATCTTCTCGAGTTTCTGTTCAGTAATGTAACCTGTCAAAATGTGTATTTTTGGGGCTTTTTTAATTACATAAGATATTATTCTAATTATTCAAATGGAAAAAACTTAATTTTTAACCAAAAAATATAACCAAAGAGTTGGGACCTACTTTTAGATCAATGTAAAGATTATAGTGGCAGAAAAACAAAATGAGCAGAAAGAACCAATCATCGAAATAGATTTATTAAGTTGTCAGTAGTCATAAAAATATAAAATAACTTTTGCATTATTTTGCATATATTTATATTTCTTATTTTTCATATGGTGAAGAAGTCTTGAAGTCTACAAATTAAAATGATACCAAAAAGAAAAAAAATGTTGATCATTATATAAGAAAAAAATTATAGTACAGTATCACCAAATTTTCTACCCAAACATGTTTAAAGAGTGAAAGCTTACAAAACCTAACAAAATTGTAGTTTTTGAAATTCTATACAATTTAAGTATCTTATTACTAATAACATAAATGTCAAGAATTTGAGTGTTAGCCCCTATTTTTACTCCTCATAAAAATATTAACTGCTATAAAGGAGAAACTTCAGACCTACTGTGCAACTGCATACTCGAGAAGTGGTGTAAATCAAATGTGGGTTCTCAAAAACTTCAAACAACATCAAGAAAAATTTTAAATCACAAAATTTTTCAAAAGTGAGTAACATCAAAAAAGTAAAACTTTTCTATACTTTTTATAACCATTCCTCACGGTAAATTGAAAACTAAGCTTTTTCATATCAAAGACAAGTGCTTCTTTAATAAAAATGAAGCTCGAAAAGTTTTATAAATTGTGATCGGTCAAAAAAAAAATTACTGTGTTAAAAATCACTCTGATTCTTCACACAAGTACTCTGAAGTTGAAATTAAAAGGATGCTTGAGTTCATCATTGACAACTCTTATATAGTCTTTGGAGACCAGGTCTTCCAACAAACTGTTGGAATTTCGATAGGCACTAATTGCTCCTTTATTAGCCGACTGTTTTTTATATTCCTGTGAAGCAGAATTAATTAAAAAACTTCTGCAAGAGAAGAAGAAAACACTTACTGTTCAACTCGACATTCAGCAATATCGACGACGTTTTATCAATTAACAATTATAGTTACTTCCATTCATATGTCGACTCGACATATCCCAGTGAACTCGAAATTAAAGAGACCTCAGAGTCTGCCACATCTCTTTCATATTTGGATGATTTACTGGCTATAGATCATAAGGGCAAACTAAAAACTAAATTGTATGACAAACGAGATGGTTTCAGCTTTTTTATCGCCAACTTTCCTAATTTATGTAGTAATATTTCGCTATCCTCCAGATGATTTTTATGTTTCCCAACTTATTTGATACTCAAGAACATGCCCCGAGTACGATCAATTCTTTAACTGAGACATGCTTCTAATATAGTTGATGTTACAGACATTTCCAAAACCTCGTTTAAAGTCAGCATTTCGTAAATTCTATGGACATTATAATGACCTTGTTAGTAATTATTACCTATCATTGGTGGTTGGAATAATTTTGACTGACTTAATTCATAGGCCTTTGTTTTTACACTAAATTTGAATACTGAACATTCTGTCTATCTGATCAGTATATAGGACCCACGGCAGGTGTGACCTGTCAAATAGGGATGCTTCCTCCTCCTAGGCTCCTAATCCCTCCTTTGGAATTTCGGTGGGTGGGTGGGGGTGGGGGGAGGGCGTGTATTATGCCCTGTTCACATATTTGTATTGTTTGTAGTTTTTTTTTAGGTCGATCACTGTTCGTTATCTTCGCCTTTTTCATTTTTTACAACTGTTAATTTATATCATTATTCTGTATTTGAAAAGCAAGACACAGTATTTTCCTACGCTATAGTCCTTGCTATCT